TCTATTTGGCAGTCATAGAATTTTAGAACCGTAGTATCCATAGATATTATCTAGCTCAACTTTGTGACTCTGAAAGACAAGTCAGCTAACAGACAGAGAGGAAAAAAACCTTTCCTATGATCATACATCTTAGAAGTGAAGTGCCAGGACTACTTTATGTAATTGCCTTTGAAATATATGGTTTTACCACTTTAGCTTTTCAGATAACCCTCGGCATATGTTCAGTTGTTAGCTGTCCTCTCCCCACGTCTCTATCTTCTCTTCTGCTTTCCAGCTTGTATGCTTCCCACCCTGTAGTAATAAGATGATGACCTTCTGTTTACTGGAACAGCTGTTAGGTGTGTACTTCTTCTCACCTTATATCTCAGATCTCCCTCATCAAAAATGTCATTCCTTCTAGCAATTGCACCCCCAAACCCTACCTACATCTGTCAAATAAGACACGAAGTCATTAGGTAAAGTCTTGGTAGCCCAGAGAACCGTCTTAAAAGTGATAAAGTATGAAACATCATACTGTTTCGAATTAATTCTCTATATAAGAAACTTGTGAAATTTTTCTCAACATAGAAACCTAAAAGCAAAAATACACTGTGAGCGCCATCTCCTGGAGAGAACATTCTGCCTTGTGAATGTGCCCTCCCTCGCTGCCACCTTAGAGTGTTTTCGCTTTTATTCTTTATTTTACCTATTCCTGGTCCATAATAGAGACGTAAGGTAGCTTACAAAGTATACAAATAAAAGTAAAAACTTAATTTAAATTATGCATTGGAAAAGAAAGTAGAGGACCAGGAGGAGAAGCAAAACACTGATCATCAGGGTTTCCACACAGCAGCAAAGGAGCTATAAGTTTAGTGAAGGGTTTGGTTTAGAAGGGATAGATGATGACTTTATTTTGTTAAGTTTGAGTTGCCTGTAGGACATCCATGATGAACTTTCAAGTGTGTACTGTGTGATTAAAGCTCATCAGGGAGATCTGAGAGAGAAATACAGATTTGAAGGTGATAGGCATGTGGTCACTGAAGTGCTGGGCTACCTGGGATTGCCCAGAGTGTGGAGAGGGGAATAAAATAGGATCTAGCACAGAGCCTGGAGGAATATCTACAGGTAAGGGATGAAGCCAACATACCTGGTCTTAATCCCACATTCCTCTACGGACTAGGAATAACATTTAACTTACATTTAAAACACATATTTTAAAATAGGTTTTGCTATAACTTCATCATGTTAAATAGACATGGAATTCTTTGTTATTCTTGTTTGTTCTTAAGTCTTTCTCTAATCAACAATTCCTAAACATTTTGGAACTGCTATTCCTGGTACCTAAAACTCTCGTCTCTGACCTGGGAGGAGTCTAGACTAGAAGACACAAAATAATGTCGTCACATTAGAGATGGATGTCAGCTAGGCCCACCGGCTTCCTGTCCTTCTCCACCAGCCCTCCAGGCCGTATAATGCTAGGTCAGGAAAGGAGCAGAAGCCCCAGAGGCTCTGCCGTGTCCACACTTGCCAACCCTCTTAGCTGTGGTACGATTTCCTGCTCCCAAGGAGGAACATGTGAAGAATTGCCGTGATTTTTTCTGGCTACATCTTATTTTCTTAGAATTATTTAGAATGCTTTTCTTTTTCCTCTTTTTAAACCTCTCATGTGGTTATTATAAATGTTGCTTGTTTCAGCAAAACTCTCATTTCAGTTTTTTTCCACTGTGAACCAGATGAACTTTTTCACTGAAGCAGTCGCATTGTCTCATTGAATTTCAGGTCACTTGCAATTTCTTTTTTCTGAATGCCACAGAGAGAAAAGGACTGAGTTCCTAAAAACTGCCCTACTCTCTCTCACACTCCCCTGGTAGAACTCCATTTCAGCTGAAATCCCCACATGTTATTTCATTTCAGGAGTGTTGTCAAAGGAAATGTCTTCTATAGGGCCCAGAAACTTGGCCAAGTGGTTCTGTAATACTTTATGACTGATTCCTTTAGCATTTCCTCTCTCAGGGCTCTGCAATAACTTCTATCCAGGTTTAATTGGTGGGATATAAATTTCCTTCATCTATGGGAATTTTCTATGCCTTTGAATATTTTAATCTATTAGAAAAATATGGCCCCTCTTTCCCTGTGCCAGTAGCATAACCAGATGCTGATGTTTCTTCCAATCTAGGAAACTGTAGCTTTTTCCTCTAGCACTTTCCATATGGAAAGTATGGTAGGTTACTTCATTCAGGTAGGGTACTATGTCTATTTCAGATCTCTTTTGATTCAGTTCCATACTTAAATAATGCATTTCACCTCTAAGGTAATATTTAATATACATACTCTGAATTTTCTTGTTCAATTCTGGGATAAGTTTTAATGTAGAATTGTATCATATGATCAGCCCAGGGGATTGTGTATGAATTCTTAATATAAGTAATATTTATTAATAAAACCAAACAAACAGGAGGAACAAGCGATTTCATAACCATAAGATAAGAAAAAGAGTGTGTTTTGAACTTTTGGTATACGATTGTATAACCACTTACCAGTCTATCAGCACTTTTGGTGAAAACAAGAGTGACAAGGTTAAAAGAAAGTATACTATAAAACACAGTAAGAATAACTTATCAAGCTTTTTTTTTTTTCAAGAATTTTGAGGTCAGAATTTATCATTGTTAATAGTGATCTGAAATACATTTTCTAATTACCAAACATAGAGGTATTTTATTTCCTTTATTTTTATTTTTATCTTGGGGGCAGGGTGTAGAGGAAGAGGGGCAGAGGGAGAGGGAGAAGGAGAGACTCCCAGGGAGGCTCCGTGCGCAGCCCAGAACCCGACATGGGGCTCGATCTCACAACTGTGAGATCGTAAGCTGAGCCAAAATCAAGAGTTGGACACTTAACTGACTGAGCCACCCAGGTGCCCCAAACATAGAGATATTTTAAAGTTGTGCAGAATGCTTCTGAAAATATATTTTCTGAATAATATTTCATACTCTCAGATCATGTCTCATTACTGCAGTGGTAGCTACAAGTCAACTGACACAGAGCCACTAGTCAACTTGGAAATACAAAATTTACTTGAAACTTAAGACCATCAATCTTCAGAAGACAACAGTGGATATTTCCCCAGCTCTACCTAGAAATTTGGGAAATGCTCTTATTATATAGAGAATGTGGTATAAGGATTAGCTAATCTTAGAATCACAGAATGTTACCAGTAGAAAGAGGGGCCTAAGTCGCCTGACCGCATTATTTTATAACTGAGGAAACAGAGGCTCATCCAAAATAATGGCTTGTCCAGAATCAGAGCTGGTTAACGCAAAGCCCAGATCAAGCCATAATTCCTGCCTGTCAGAGAAGTTTCCTTTCTGCTTTACTATTATACCACCATATGCCAATTTCCAGCAGCTGGGTTCCTCTGATGCAGGGACTAGGCCCTTTGTATAACTGCACCTGAGCAAAGCCTGTCTTGTTTGTCTCTCCTCGTTTTAGGTGCCCCTCCCAGGCCCTCAAAAAGTCTTTCCCTGATGTGACCCTGCTCATTCCGTCCCCACTGAAGCTTACCAATCCTTTTTTTTTTTTTTTTTTTTAAATTTTTTTTTTTTTTTTTACGTTTATTTATTTTGGGGACAGAGAGAGACAGAGCATGAACGGGGGAGGGGCAGAGAGAGAGGGAGACACAGAATCGGAAACAGGCTCCAGGCTCTGAGCCATCAGCCCAGAGCCCGACGCGGGGCTCGAACTCACGGACCGCGAGATCATGACCTGGCTGAAGTCGGATGCTTAACCGACTGCGCCACCCAGGCGCCCCCGAAGCTTACCAATCCTTTATCTGATCCCACTAAGGAATCCAAAGTGGCAACTCACTAGTCTGTTCCATTAACCAGGTAAATGTGCTCCGAAAGAGACTTAAATACATTTTCCCACATGTTTGTGTTTCAGTATGGCCTTTGTAGAGTAATCCCCAGCCTCTTAGCAATGAACTCCATGGTAAGCAACTGGCATGTGGGTTTAGTTGAGAAAACAAAAAAATGTTTAGAGATTACTTTTCCACTCAGTCTGAAAATAACTGAATTAACTTCAAGAATCATAATATATGGTCTTATAATTTAGATCACATTACCTACTTTATTAAGTAGAAAAATATTTTTGAGAAAGTATCATTGATTTTAGCCAAGAAAACATTAGTTACTATCTGGGCATATTTGAGAAGATTCATTAGCTTTCTAATCTTTCGCCTAGAAATTAGATCACTAGCCATACAATCTATTTAGAGGGCTGGTGATATAAATTATTATAGATACAAATTACTTATCTCTACCAATCTACTGAGGATTTCAGTACCAGGAATGCCAAACCAGATATATGTGGAAGGCAGCTGAGTGGCAGATATTTATTGTGTAGGAGGACAGACAGTGTCTTCCTGAACCCCTGAGAATAAACACACTCCACATACACAGAGATTCTGCCTTGCTGAGTGTTTCACATTGTGTAAACATGAGTAGAAACAAAACTGGGCCTTCAGTATAAAGGTGTGAACCTCTACTCATGGGCAGCCCATAGAGGGCTTCAGCTTGAACACTTCATGAAACCATCTAACAAGAGAAACCTTCTCCTTCATCTTGCTCATTTTCTTAGCAATGTTTTACTTGGCATAAGTTAGGATAAAATACATACATACACACACACACAAAAGATAGAGCAGTAAAGTCATCCAATAATGGGAAAACAAAGGAAGGATAGAATGTCAACAGATATTGTTAAGTTTTCTTTGGCACACGTACAAAAAGTCATTGTCCCAGCCAGGCGACCATATGCCTATAACGTGGCAGTGCCATTCTCCGGGCACGCATCCAGGGCTCTAGTCTACCACTCTCTAATTTGGATTAATAATTTATTGTATTATTTCAAAGTTTGCTTAGTACACCTAGTTAGCTGAATCATAAAGAACAACTCATCCCAAGGTATACATACAGTTTTCGATGTTAACCGTGCAAAATAAGTGCCCACTTTCATCTGCCACGGTAATGCCCATTCACCTAACGAGAACGTACAAAGAAGCATCTACCAAAGGTGACTCGGTAAGAAAGAGGTGCTGCTCGGGAGAAAGGGAGGGAAGAGAGGAAATGAGGGAGATAAGAAATCAACATGTGTTAGATTCCCGCCATGTGCCGGGTACGCGGGGAACATATAATCCTCAGAACAATTCTGTGAAGCAGGTAATAGTACTCCCGTTGGAGAGATGAGCAGATTAAGATTTAGGAAAGATAAGTAAATTGCCCGTATTCATTCATCTTTCTGGATAGACTCCAAGTTCTTCACGGAAATTATGAGCCGAGCGGGCCAAGAAACGTACCTAAATGGAGAAAAACTACAAAAGAGCTCCAAGACAACATGTGAGCAGACGTTTGATCGGTGGCACAAACTGAATTCGCAAGTGCTGAGGACATTTCAGAGAATATTCTCACATAGTGCTAGTAAGAGCGAGTCAGAATGCTTCACAGAGATAAGGCTTGACGTGGCTCCAGTGCCTCTCAACTTTTTAAATAAGCAGTTGCTCTAAATTTAAATGCTGACCTAATTCCTGAAGCTGAGAAACACCAGATGAGTGTGAAAATTAAAAGTACTTGAGTTGGAACGGGAGGAGATCCAGGCTGGCCCGAGTAACAGGTTAAAAATAGCATCTTTGTGAGGAGAGAGGAAGGAAGCTGACCAGACAGCTCCTTCTTCCAGCAGAAAGCCATCTAGCCGGCTGATAGATCACATCTGCAACAAGAGGCATCTTTCACTTCTTTACTGTGTCCGTAATTACAATTCATTCATGCAGATGTATCAGCATTGGCCGCTTCAGAAATTCACTGGTACTAAGAGAGGGATTTTACTCCTGTCAAACCTTCCTTGGCTCTTTGGTATCTATTCTTCTTTGTAAAAAGAAATTATTTTTTAAATTCCAGAATCACACACTGGTTTTGAAAGCTAGCTACCGTAAAGCTCGTGAATGAGACTCATTAGGCATGCAAACCACAAAACAGTTCTCCTCTGGCCTCCCGTTGAAAGCATTTCACTTTCAGCATCATGAATTTTCATTTATTTCTTCTGGTAGAGAGACGGGCAGATGAACAGTGAAGACTCAGAAGAGTCTTCTGGCAACACGACATTTCATTTCTTTCCCTTCCCTAGGGAAGGGCTGCTGAGAGTGGTGGGCAAGGAGAATGCCTTGTCTCATGGTTCCAGTTTTTGTATGCTCAAATTGAGGGGGCTGGAGGGGACAATGTAGTGTTTTCCTAGATGTGACATTCTGTGTTTCTATAGACCGAGACAGATAGGACTGAAAAAGATCCTTGGGATTCAGCAGGTAGGCAGACAGTGGTACTTCAGTAGAGAGCAATTTCTGTGAGGGAATTCACGATTAGAAGTTAGAGTCAGGTGAGTCAGGGAGGGCCAACCCGAGAAGAAATACATTAAGGAAGGAGTGGGGCGTGAGCAAGTGGAGACCAGGATTAGACATTTATCTTTCAGTTAGCCTAGCCCTGAGGAGAAAGAGGGAATCGAGTTGGATGGAAGGGAATATCCATTTGGTGAGACAGAGGAAATTGCTTGCTTGCTTGCATTTAATGATGGGAGAAACAGAAATACGTTCAAATGTTGACAGGAAAGACCCCCTAGAGAGAGACAAGCAAAAAGTATGAAAAAATGAGGTCCCCGAAGAGGTACCCATGGAGGGGTTTCGAAGCAGATGTGCAAGGATTCACCTTGGAAAGAAGGAAGTGGTAAAACAGTTCATGAAAATGGTTAACTCCCCCGAGGAGGAAGGGAAAAGAAAGAGGTTGAAATAGTGACTCCGCAAAAAAAATGAAGCTTCGCGGAACTTCGACAGTTCTGCCCCTTTTTCATACCAAGACTGACTTTCCAGGCATTCAGGCGCCAAATGACAGAATCCGAATATCTGCCTCACATCTGAATGAATGCACAGAGCTAGATGGAATCAAAATATGTTCAACTCTGAATTTAATGCCAAGATACTTCCCTTGGGTTAAACTTTCTCTTCTTGATCTCACAGTAATGTCTTCAGGAATAACAGGGTCAGAAAAGGAGTCTAAAATTGGTCATCAACCCTCTTTCTTCTCTCTTGTAATTACTTTAAATTTTTTTTTCTTTTATTTAAAGAAAGTACAAAGAGTATACTTAATAATCCCAAATACAAGCACACTTTAAACTTCCATTTATGGTCTGGGTAACATTGAGCAAATTGGTATAGCATTCTGAGCTCAATTTTCTCCTCTCTAAAGTGAGAGGGTGGATTTAGAGAACTGTACAAAGATCTTTTCAGATCTAAGAATCCTCTGACTCAGAATTAGAGGACATTTTCCAAACAGTGAACAATCTGGTTTTAACCAGGAAAATAAATAGAGGAAATGTTTCTCTTGGGTTTTCACTTTGAAATTTGTGCCTAAATAAAACAAATAAAACAAAACACAGAGTTGAGATTTCTTTTTGAACCGTGTTTATATTTTACACGAAGTTCTTTTCTACTGTTGTTTATATTTAGTTTTCTGTCTGAAGTATGAGTCAAGTACCGTTAATGTCACTTTGGCTTTTAATATACTCTGTAATACATTGAGCTGACTGTTTTTCTATTAAAATGATGGACCTGAATTCAAAGTATAATTATTGTTTTTTGTAAAACTTTTTTTTTTTTTTTTTGGCCTGGTCTATCCCTATAGCACACTTCAAATCAATCCAAATAGTCAGAGAACAGAAGTGTATGTACTAATAAATTTGTCAGGATCACTAGTCTCTTTCAAAAGTCTTGATTTCTTAAAAAAGGCTCCAGATAAAGAAGATCAGAATTTGGTAAACTGTGGTTTACATGATTTTTATTCAAATGAGAACCAATTTATTCTTCCTCTACATGGGAAATGAAATGTGCCTCTGTGACTGCCTTAGATAAGACTCTGTAGTGCAAAAAACTGAAACCCACTCAAACCAGCCTAAGTCAAAAAATTGGGGCATTGTTAAAAGGATACAATAGGAGTCTCATAGAAATGACACAACAGGAATCTCAACGAGAAAAAAATAAAAGTAGGTCACAGCAGGCCCACCCCTGATATCTGTAGCACATGGCACAAGGGTACAATGGAGACTTCTATACCATATGAGTGAATATTTGAAGGTGATGTCAAAATACTAACATGTCTGTTAAGTAAGATACGTTTGATCCTTCTCCTTCACAAACCTGATAACAATTTTTTTCTTAACGTAAACCTATGGTTTAGCGTAACTGAAAGTTGGCAACATATCACATGTAAATGAATTTAATTATAATTGTAAATATCCGGGTATATTGCTCGTAGGCAGATGCTTGGATGACTAACAAAGACAGATATAAGCAATAAATACCATATTCTACAAAATTAATTCTTTTGTCCCAGCAAAATTGCTGATGATGTCGTCATAGTCAAATGTTCACTTCATTTGTGTTTTATCAATGGTAATGCTAAATTAGACAACCACTCTCGAGTCACTGTAGTTCTTTTAAAATTTTTTTTTTTCAACGTTTATTTATTTTTGGGACAGAGAGAGAGACAGAGCATGAACGGGGGAGGGGCAGAGAGAGAGGGAGACACAGAATCGGAAACAGGCTCCAGGCTCTGAGCCATCAGCCCAGAGCCCGACGCGGGGCTCGAACTCACGGACCGCGAGATCGTGACCTGGCTGAAGTCGGACGCTTAACCGACTGCGCCACCCAGGCGCCCCGAGTCACTGTAGTTCTTAAAGAATACATTTGTATGTTTCTACTTGAACAAACTTTGTTCTTATGAGGCAGTGACAACACGAAGTGTCAATAACTCAGAAATGAAACAAGAACTCTATATACCATAACTTAAAATTTAATGGGATTGCATATGAAAATGATTATTCCACAAAAATATTGCAAAATATACTAATTGTATAGTATCAATCTATGGGGAATAAGTTTAGGAATTCCCTGAGCCTGCGCTGATGAGTTTACAAGTCATAAAGAATTAGAAAGCCACAGGATGTACACACCCAAATTTGAGTAAACAAGATTAGGTAAATAAGATTAGGTAAATGGGGCAAAGGTCCCCTATAGGACAAAGGTATAGGAATAGGGAATCTCGGGATCAAAACATCCAAGATGAGGTAAACAAGATTAGGTATTCAGGGCTGAAATGCCCCCCCCCCCACCCCCAACCAACTTAGTACAATAGCAGAAAGCTGCTTTCACAGGAAGGAAATTGGGTTAACAGGTAAACAGGGCTATAAACAGTTGCAGGGTGAAGCTTCCCAGAGCAGAGTAATTAGCAAAAGAAAGGTGCCTTTTTGACCCTGAAGTAGCTTGCTCTGTCTTTCTTGTTCCCTAGGCCAGTTTAGATAAACGGAGGGGGGCCTCATGTCTGCTGTAAACAACCTTCCTCCCAGCAACAGGATTTTGTTTGATATTGACCCAAACCCCTCACACCGCATATCTTCAAAACCCTCTTTCCCTCACACCCATAAGTTAATGTTCACGATTTCATTGTCTCTTTGTGCATGTCCATCACCACTTTTGTAAGCCTTCTGATACTAATAAAAACGGAGCAAGGTCCCTACTCGGGGCTCTTGTCTCCTCCCGGACATTAGCCTTTCTTGCATTTTTAATCCTGTGTCCCGCTTTCTTGCTGGACAAGAGAGAACTCCAGACCCAGAGTCTACAACATCAATCCATCAAACTTGTATGTCAGTTTTCATCAGCTCTGTTCACAATATTTAGAACCTCTCAGTTATATATAAAAAAAAAAACCAATATGTGTATTATAACTCACATTTATATACATTTATATATGATATGAATTGTTTAATATTATAAAATGATCCTTCTCCACCATGCACAACTGTTCTAAATACTATAGCAAGTTGTGAATTCCTCTGGAGTCACAAATTGGAATATTTGAAGAGAAACAAAAAATATGCATCCTGCACTATTGTAAATGACATTTTCTTGTGCCAAAGTCTATTGCATTCATACTGGCTGAGAGAAACCTTTGATAAGAAAGCCAGTCTTTTCTCTTACTCAAGAACGTCTACCTTCCCCCATCTGGCCCACATTCTGAAACAGTGGCTCCCTCTGATGTCAAAGTCACAACAACTGGCACTGCTGCTTTATTGCAAAGACACAGGGCGGGAGATATAGAGCAGCATTTTGATTAGGACTGAATTGTGCTAGTCACAGGAATGACTGTTCCGAATTTGGGGTCTTGCTGTGCCAGTGTGGAGCTAACTGATGATAGAAGCAGCCTGGCTACTGAATGATAGAAGCATCCTTGAGTTCTTTAGTGAAGTAACTGTTTTTGTGTGAGTTTGTGATATGTGGGCCCCACATGCTTTAAAGTGTCCATGGCAGGAATCCCATTGGGGGAATCTAACAGCAATCCTACACATAAAGATTGGAAAATCTGGAAGCACACACTCTGTTTCTCATTGAGCCACATGGTCTTAATGTTGCTTCTCTGCATTTTTGCCATATTTTCTTGCTACTTTCTTCAAATTGACTTTCTGTGCATTATATGATTCTCTAATACCCCCCTAAATTTTAGGTAGTTTGTTGCTTTGGCATGCAATGGCTTTCACCCCCTCTACTGAATCTCTCCGGTCAAGCTCCATTCATCATGTAAGGGATCATCTGCCTGGTCCATCATGGATCAGATGTCCACCTCTGGTTCAGCTGGGGCTAAGAAAAGCATAATACATAGTGTGATGTCCCATTTACATATTAATCTTTTAAAAAGTCAGAGTTTATAACCTATTGGCAATTAGAATCTTCTTTATACCCAGGAAAAATATTATTCAAACGTTGTATGTTTCATCTTTTATCCCTCTTCATCTTCATGTTTTATCCTTCATGAAATGAATATTTCAGTATCAAGAAAATGATAAGAACACAAACTTATTAAAAGGTCATTTAACCACTGAAAATACCAGATGTCAAGGCAGTGGTTTTGCTGTTTTGATTTTTGTATTTCCAAGGAAACATATTAAATAAGTGAAGGCCTGGACGAATGATGAAGCCCTTGTACCTTCAATCAGATGTGTTTGATGATTTTACACAAAGCGAGCCTTATGACTTCTAGCATGAAGTAGGAGTGTGTTTCCAGATAAGTCATGAGCTCTCATCTTTCTCCCAGAAAAGATCAAGCTCTTTTTTCTGGCTTAACATTTATTATCTGTGCCTAGAGGACTCTTCCCAATAATCATAGAACCCATTTATTCTCAAACTCCTGATCCATGGTCAACTGCAAACGTCTCAGAGGCCTTCCCTGACTATTTGGTGGTTGCTTTGGATACATTTCCTCTCATCTCTTAGTTGTTTCCTTCATCATAGCTATCCAAATCTGTAATTATCTTATTTTTTTATCTGTTATTGTCTTCTGCACTATGACAAAAGGTCTACATCCCAATACCCAGCTGTTATCTTAATATCCAAATATAGTTTGGCATACAATAGGTGCTAATTAGTATTTGTTCAGTGCATGAGCTTTGAAATAAGAGGGTTGAACTGGCCCTAGGAAAGCACAGTACTGAAATCAAAGTTGCACAACATTAACAATAGCACACTATAAAAATCATAAATTGTAATTTCTATTTACAATGTAATTGTGGGACGAAACTCTTACCACATGATATGGAACAAATTATTCATTGCATAAGAAGTTAAGATCTAATGTTTAATCAACAGAAGGGATTTCACAAAAACTTCATTAAGTAGAGCAATGTCATACAATTTCTATTGTGCAATATATGTTTCAAGTGTCCATGATTCTGTTTATAGTCTTATCATACAGTAAATATTAATTCATGAATAGTATGCTTCATGGTCAGTGCAAGGCTACAACATGAAAATTGAAAACATTGATCTTTCAACTAGTTGTTTGGTCTCTTAAAAGTAGATAATTTCACGGATCAGGCTAAATTGACCAACCATTTCCAAATTAAAAGAAAATTGCCCAATTGTAGCAATTACCAGGCCAAAAGGAGTGAAGCATTTTATAGCTCTCACTTCATGTTGCTCTACTCAAAGAGGTTATCCAGTTTGCCTTAGCACCAGGGAGAGAATTGTGACTAATTATCAATTGGTCAGTTGAAATGGAGATAAATTTCCTGGTTGAGATTTTCTTCACCTCTTTATGACAGTGAGTTCCTTAATAGCCATCTTTAAAATGACAAGCAAGTGCTTTCAGTATTTCCTAACTATGTTTTAGAAGGCTATTTAAATGGGAGTGCCTGGGTGGCTCAGTAGGCTAAGTGTGGGACTCTTGATTTTGGCTCAGGTCATGAACTCGTGGTTCGTAGGTTCCAGCCCCATGTCGGGCTCTGTACTGACTATGTGGGGCCTGCTTGGGATGCTCTCTCCCTCTCTCTCTCTCTTCTCACTTTCTCTGTCTCTCAAAATAAATAAACTTAAAAAAAAAAAAAGAAGAAGAAGTCTATTTAAAAGTTTTTTAATGTTTATTTCATTTTTGGGAGACAGAGCACAAGCGGGGAGGGGCAGAGGGAGAGGGAGGCACAGAATACAAAGAAGGCTCCAGGTTCCAAGCTGTCAGCACACAGCCCGACGTGGGGCTCGAACTCAGGAGCCATGAGATCATGACCTGAGCTGAAGTCGGGTACTTAACCGACAGAGCCACCCAGGCACCCCAAAAGGAGTCTGTTTGAATGCCATTTATAAGACTGTGAACCCTTGAATTGGCAGACTGTCATATTTGTCTTTGAACTCCCAATCTTGTCTAACACATTTTAGGTAGGTAATATTTATTGAATTAAATAGAAAGTAACTATGAAAATAAACAGATATAAAATGATATTTTTTCTGGACTGCTATGAAATTAAGAAATTCAATCTAAGCCTAAATGATGTTTGCCAACTCAGTAAAACAAACCCTCAAATCAGTGGTTCAATATTATGTAAACAAAATAACCAGTTGAATTCTGTTTTTTCTACTTTTCAACCAGTTCTTTGGACATGGTCTCCAATATAGATTCTTTTATTTGTGCACTTTATTAAAATTTAAACATCATAAAAGCACTAAAAGCAAATGCTTTTTGCCTTAATAATTAGCTAATGGAATGTTTAATAAAAAATTTTTATGCTTCATAGAAATCCTGTGAATCATACTGGGGATTATCAAAAAGTTTTAAAACCTACCACTTGTGAGAGAAGGGAGAGCAGAGGGCACTTGGGCAACACCTATCAAAATCATTCCCTTCGACCTCGAAGTTCTTCATCTTTGAATATAGAAATACTTAAACATGTATGAAACAGCATATGTACAACGTAATTTACTTAGCATAACTTGCAACAACATAATATTGGAAACAACCTAAATATCCATCAATGAATAAGTAGCTAAATGTATTATAATATATCCATATGGTGGAATGCCTTATAGCCATCAAAGAAAAATAATTTGCAGAAAAATGAAGGTGCAAAATGTGTGCTTCCATTTATGTAAAAGAGAAGGAAAGGAATATCTGTGTGTGAGTGAGTGAGTGTTTATTTGTATATGTAGAAAATATCTCTGAAAAGATACAAAAGAAACTTGATCTTGCCTTTCTGCCTAGAGGAGACTGACTACTAAAGGGATAGATGTGGGAGGAAGATTTTTCTCTATATTCCCTTCTCTAGTTTTGAATCTTGCTCTATGTAGCTGTATTGCCTAGACAAAATAAATAAATGCATTTTGAAACACAGAAAAATAAAACCAAGTAAGAAATATTTTCCTCATATAGTCATAGTCTAACGCGCCCTAATTTCTCCAAAACCATCCCCTCATTCGACTTGCTGACTTGCCGTCGTCATTGCCAACTTCTTAAAAACAAACTTCTAGGAACAAAAAGGGAGGGAAAGAGAGCACATAAAATAGAGACGAGAAGAAGGAGGAGGAGGAAGGGAAGGAGGAGGAAAAGCAGAAGGAGAGGAGGGTGGAAGGAAAAGAAGAAACAAAAAGATTGCTTTGTACAAGGGCAGGGAGAAATTCCTTCCGATTCTCTCAGCCAGGCTTTTGACAAAAGTACAGTACCTTCAATGTTCATTATTCATTCCACTTATTAATGTCCCAACAGCTCACACCTTTCATCTGAAAGGCCTGTATTTTTTGACTTTTAAAAGTTTCACAGTGTTTTCATCATGTAGATTTCTGTGATTTACGTGACTTATTCTGAAGTCTCAGAAGATATAAACTCAGAAACATGTTCTATCCTGTCTCGCCCCAACCACTTTCTACACACCCACGCTCAAAACCATGCTTGAGTTAAGTAAAGGATGCAGATTAGGCCAGTAATAAAGTCAACAACTATGCTTGTTGCTTCGTGGGTTGGTTGGTTGTTTGGTTGGTTAATTTCTGTTTCAGAAATAATTTGGTATAGTGTTAAGAATATCAGACTGGCATCAGTTCTGATTCTGACACTAATATCTGTTAGGCATTACCAAGAACTAGATAGACATTCTGTGAGGCCCTGTCTATATATCAGTGAAGAGAGCTTCTGCCTTTGAAGAGCTCATCCTCTCGTAGGAGGGAGAGATTTGCATATACCCAACTGAAACATAAGGTGATAAGCATCATACTGGCAGCATCTGGTATCATAAAGAACTGAGAAGAGCAAAGTTCTGCTGGGTTGGGGGAGGAGAGCTGCTAGTAGAAAGGAAGTGACACTGGATCTCTGCTTTGAAGAAATAGCAGATTTCTTTTTCCAAACAGGAAAGGAGTGAAGAACAGCTCAGGCAGAATTACGAAACAGTAAGTCACTTCCGGGTTGCAGTATGGAGAAGACAAGTCATGTGAAATTCCCAGCATAGTGACTGTAACTATGCTCCTTTCTTTTCCCACTCAAGAAATGGTAATGAGGGACACCCAGATGGCTCAGTCAGTTAAGTGACCGACTCTTGATTTTGGCTCAGGTCATGATTTCAGCTCAGGTCATGATCTCCTGGTTTGTGAGTTCAAGCCCACCTCAGGCTCTATACTGATGGTGTGGAGCCTGAAAGGGGGCTGGAACTCACATGTTCTGTCTGTCTGTCTGTCTCTCTCTCTCTCAAAATAAATAAACTTAAAAAATGGTGATGAAATGAAAGTGAGAAGTTATTATTGGCAATAATGTCCTCTGCCTTACCAAAAGCAAACAAATAAATAATAAGCAAATAATCAGCAAAGCAGTACTTTATTTTTTGAAAGATGTAGTTGTCGGCAATCAAAAAGAATGAAATGTTGCCATTTGCAACAATGTGGATGGAACTAATGTGTATTATGCTAAGTGAAATAATTCAGTCAGAGAAAGACAAATATCATATGATTTCACTTGTATGTGGAATTTAAGATACAAAACAGATGAACATAAGGGAAGGGAAGCAAAAATAATATAAAAACAGAGAGGGAGACAAACAATAAGAGACTCTTAAATATAGGGAACAAACTGAGGGTTGCTGGAGGGGTGTTGGATGGGGAGATGGGCTAAATGGGTGATGGGCATTAAGGAGAACACTTGTTGGGATGAGCACTGGGTGTTATATGTAAGTGATGAATCACTAAATTCTATTCCTGAAATCATGATTACACTGTATGTTAACTAACTTGGATTTAAATTTAAAAAAAAAAAAAAAAAGATGTGAGTTGCCACCCTGGTATCTGAAAACACTTCCAACCAATCACTAAGATCACTCCACCTCCACCATATTAAGATTCAGATGAGAAAAGAATGTGTTGTTTTGTGTCATTCCAAGCTCTTTCCCACCCCCACTTCTCACCCCCTACTTGTTCATTTCTTTGTGTCCTGAAGACACAAGACAAATGATGGCAAGAACCTCACCAGGCAAAACAGGGAGGCCACAACACCTAAGACCTGAAAGAAGTTCTGAGAGCTTTGGTGGGTCATTGAATAACTAGAGACTGAAGTCCAGTGCTTATATTACACACAGCCCCCAGGGCTTGGTGTATCTGCAAAAATGAAAGATACTCCCTCTACTGTGCAGATGGTATTCATTAGCCACAAGCACCTGGCCAAGTAGATCTGCTGATAAAATCTCAACAGCAATAGAGCCAAGCAGCGATCCTAGTACAAGGTTTAGCAGAGGGAAACCGATCGCTGTCCACAGATTCCCCTAGCCCGACCCAAAAGAAATGGAAGAAAGGAATGTAAATAAGTCTAACAGCATATTTTCACACCAGCAAAATGATTCAGAGGTTATACCAACAACTCAATGATTCATTCATAATTTGAGGGAAGAGAAATTTGTCAACAAGAATGTGTTTGGTGTGGAGTATGGAATCCTGGCAATGTTAGCCCCAGGCCGGAGTTATTATAGTCTTGTCTTGTTCTCTTCATGGTCCCAAAGATGGGACCAAGTTGTTTTTAACAACTCATTTTTTTTTTAACGTTTATTTATTTTTTGAGACAGAGAGAGACAGAGCATGAACGGGGGAGGGTCAGAGAGAGGGAGACACAGAATCCGAAACAGGCTCCAGGCTCTGAGCCATCAGCACAGAGCCTGACGCGGGGCTCGAACTCATGGACGGCAAGATCATGACCTGAGCCGAAGTCAGCCGCTCAACCGACTGAGCCACCCAGGCACCCCAACAACTCAATTTTAATAATCCATAGATGAGAAGGGCAAGCGGGAAGGAGAGTATAGTAATATGTTACTTCTCATGAAACAATTTGCTTATTTTGTTTTTCTTCATAACTGAAATGTTGATGAATCCTCAGTCGCCACAGTACCTTGTAGCAGCTAATCCACCACTTTCTATGTGTTAACTACAGCTGTTTCCCAGCTCAACCTCATCAACTTCCCAAGGAAATGTCTTTGGACGTGATACTGAATCAGCGTTTCTAGACTCCTATACTAGAGAATGACGTCACTTATCACTTCAAATAAGCATCCGCTAAAAACAGTCCTATAACCTGCGGCCAAGAAAACCAGAATTATGCATTTTCTCAAACTCTCCCTCATCAGTCTCAGTCTCAAGCATTCATGTCCAGAGAGATTTGTTTTGGGGGGAAATTATACCAACAAATATTTTTATATACTTACATATCACATAATATGCATAATTTTGTATTATCTTTCACATAATTCATATTATAAAACCATTTCATTTATATAGTTTTATAGGAGAATGAAGTGGTCAGTGACAGTGAATTTTACCCAAATGTAAAGCCTACAACTTTAAATACCAACAACTTGTTAAAACATATATACTGATTGTTTAAAAATGTTTATTTATTTCTTTTGAGAGAGTGTGTGCAGGGGAGGGGCAGAGAGAAAGGGAGAGAGAATCCCAAGCAGGCTCAGTGGAGACCCCAGCACGGGGCTCGAACTCACGAACCAAACCATAAGATCATGACCTGAGCCAAAATCAAGAGCCAGACAATTAATCAACTGAGCCACCCAAGCACTCCATACTGATTTTTTAATGGAATTCTTTCTAAAAGAAATTATATCTTACCCTTATTAAGCAGTAGCTCATGGACATCATTTAAATTTTTCTTGCTGATTCAGAGTCTTCATTAAGAATAGATCTCATTAAAATATATGTAGATTAAATTTGTCTCCTTTTTGGGGCGCCTGGGTGGCGCAGTCGGTTAAGCGTCCGACTTCAGCCAGGTCACGATCTCACGGTCCGTGAGTTCGAGCCCCGCGTCGGGCTCTGGGCTGATGGCTCGGAGCCTGGAGCCTGTTTCCGGTTCTGTGTCTCCCTCTCTCTCTGCCCCTCCCCCGTTCATGCTCTGTCTCTGTCTGTCCCATAAATAAATAAAAACGTGGGAAAAAAAATTTTTTTAATTTGTCTCCTTTTTTATCAGCTCTCCTTGCCTTCCCTCTAGTTTTTTGTTCCTAATTTTCCATTCATAGAGAAAATAAAGTTTTTTATACTCTGGCGCGCGCGCGCACACACACACACACACACACACACACACAAAATGATAGGTCAGTAAACTCGGTGTTGTAGTTAAGGGCATGGATTTAGTGTGGAGGCTTTGTGAAATTTGTTTAGAGAACTTAAAGGCTTTTCTGCATAATTCCAATTCAGGGCTCTGTTCCAAAGGATTTAGGTTATTGGCAAGGTGTTACTATAATTTTATACTAAATATAAAAGACTCTGTTTTTCAAAATTTTGGGCACACCTACAAAATAAAATAAAACCAAAAGTAAATGGTACTCTCTCTTAACCTGGTAAGGCTTCCTTCCCCCACATACCAAGCAAAGATCTCTAAATGAAAATATCATACGAAGCACTGAAGGTTAAATTGTAATATCTCC